TGGGTTTGCGACCTATATTTCTACAACTAACGATAAGGGCGCATTGCGTCCAGAGATATTTTTTAATTTTTTCTGGTGTTAAAAACAGGCGGTAGTGGCTAGACAGCTGATACCACGAACAGGTGCTAGAGTCAATCCGGCAGGCGAGCGGAGGCCTGAGGTGCCTCCATGGCCTCAGTTTGCCGCGCAAGGAGTTCTGCCGCCAGGACTACCACCAGCATTCAGCCCTCCCGGGAACCTCTAGAGCAGGAGTTCCTCCATTTGCGGACAATGGCCTCGCCCAGAAGCTCTTCAAGGTGCCGTTCCAGGACAACCAGCCGGTGCAGGAGTCCCGGGTGGCTCGACCACCGCCACCTCTCGGAGAAGATAGTCGAGGCCCCGGATGGCCATGGAGTGTCCTACTTCGAAAGGCGACTTTACGGACCCTCCTGCATGGCCCGGATAGACGTATCGGAAGCAGTGGGAGATCGCTCTACGTCGGTGGAATCACTTGGGTGGGAGATGCAAGTCGACTTTGAGCATCTCTCGGAGCCGAACTCGTTGCCCCCACCTACTTGGATGCCATTCTGAGGGTGATGCGCCTCAAGGCGGGAGTCCGAGATGACGACGAGAGCGACAGGCGTTCAAGGATGTCATCCATGGTGCCGCTCGGCGAAAGGATGAGAGCCTCGGGCAGTTTGCTACTTGCCGGATTCGGGATTTTACGAAGGCGGCGACCTATGGAATCACTCTGCCTCCCGAGTTTCGCGTCTTCTTGATGAAGGAAGGAGCAGGCCTCAGTGATCGGAACTCGCAGAACTTGGCCGTGCTCACGCAGGGCAAGGAGACGGACGTGGACTTCCTCGCCGGGGTCATGGCAAGAAGGATGTGCGGACTGATCGGCTCTCTGGCTACGCTGCAGGAAAGGACCATGGCTTAGAGCTTTGCTAAGGGCTTGGACGAGGCACCCGGCTTTAAGCACCAGGAGGCTGAGGGCAAGCACTCCATATGATGAAGTGGTTCTCGCCGAGCTGGAGGACCTGAACTTTTCCGAAGACCAGGCGCAGATGGAGGACGTGGAAGGAGAACGAGATGTCAAAGCCGAGGCTAGAAAGGACCGTAGACCCTTCCGCAAAGGCGACTCAGCACCTGAGGGAGGACGAGCCTCAGGGGGACGTGCCAGCCTCTCCCGCGATCAGTTGAAGAAGATCTCCACCTGCCGCAATTGCGGCCGGAAGGGCCACTGGGCAGAGGACTGCCAACAGCCAAAGAATGGTGGCCAGGAAGCATGACCCATCCCACTCTACAAGAGGAATGGTCCTGTGCCCTGAGGCTTCCTTTTGCATAGATTGAACGACATTGATGCTCTGGAAGTGCACCTCGTTGTTGACTAAATCAAGCGTCCCCAGGTGCTCCAGCAGGCCGACGCTCAGCAACGGAGGCACGTTCTCCTTGATCACCGTGAAGTGCACGACTCCAGGAACCGCCGGGCGAAATGGGTACCAGAACTGCCCGCGTCACGGTCGCTGCTCCCCCAATCCCCGTGGGTGGTCCCTGGGAGTCCGTCGGCACCTCGATGTACCTTCAGGCCGGCCTTGGCCAGGACGTGGCTAAGGGCCGACAGGGCGCTCTCCGATCAGGTCCTGCTTGGCGCCGATGTCCAGGATGGCAGTGCCGGACTTCAGCGTCAGGAAGTGAAGGTGAGCATCTCCGGCACTTCAATGTCCGTAACGGTCTTCGCTGCGGACACAATCTTGCGCCACTCAGTTGCGGTAAAGCCCACAGAAGCCACTTTTTCCAGGGGCTTGATGTCCTGAGTAGCAGAAGCCCGAAACTCTGCCCCGGTCGCCTCCCCGTGCCCAAGGAGGCTCGGGAGCGTTTTGGTCTGTCCGAGGACTCGTTCATGCTGACGTCGAAGAGCAAGCTTTCCTCCGCGTACGCAAAACAAAGCGAAGCTCTGGGAGATCACCGCAGCGTGCACATCACTTTTGGATGTAGGACGTCACATGACATGAAGTCTGACAGTTCGCAGTCTCGGAAGCTCAGCCTGTGCCAGCCCTTCGTTGAGAGCAAGCTAGATGAAGTGCAGTCATCCGCTTCTGGTGAGTTCGTCAAGTCTGAAAGAGAACATCCTGTGGCGCGTTCAGCAGCTTTCGGCCCTATGAGTCGTAGCCACCTCAATTCGACAACATCCGGTTCCAGCCCCGCTTCCACTCGTGATCATGGACTCTCAGAGAGGCTCCCTCGCGGAGCAGAGATGGCGGACGTTGGTGAACCGGTTGTTCTTCATGATGGAGACCACCCGCATGATGTATGTGCGATTGGTGATGGCAGAGAAGGGGCAGAAGTCTGTCAAGTCCGACAGGCGCACCTACATCGAGTCCGCGAACCAAGCCCCCGGCAAGTGCCTGCACGCAGGGCCACACATCAATCGTGGGAACCAATACGCCAGCTGGCAAGTGTGCAAGGTATGCAACGCCCGGATCAACTACGCGAGCCGGGGAAGGAGCAAGGCCAAGCCCAAGGCAAAGGCATCCGGAGCTGCAACGGTGACCTCAATGGCCCCTACGAGGACGCAGGGTCCAATCTTCGAGCCCAATCCGCGCAAGAACACTCCAGTGGAGGCACCACCGGCAGCGACTTCCAGCTCCTCGGCGACCCCACCGGAGGTGGCCACTGCCTTGCAGATGATGGCGGCCGGCTTCCAGCAGCTGAACTCCACGATGGCGGAGCTCATGAAAGGCCAGAGCCAGATGATCATGATGATGGCCAACGCGGCGCCGAACAAGCCGTTCGACCAGATGACCTTCGACGAGACCTCCAAGATGGCCGCCCAGGCGATGACCGAGCACTTCGCGATGAACGTGGACGAAGAGGACGACGAGAACGGCAGCTGGTCTCCGGTGGCACCCCAGGAGGCGAGTCAGGGGAGCACGGGAAACCCCAATCTTCTGGACATGCCGTGAGGTGGCCACGCTGGATGACCGGGGTTCTCTGGGCCTCGTCCTTACTGCATTGGGGCCAGTGCTCAAACGAGCTGCAGGAACATCTTCGGCATCGGGGAGGTGGAGAGAATAGCTGGATCGTCCACTACGAGGCCAATCCCGGAGAAGATCAAGGAGGACCTGGACATCTTCAACATCCCTGGGTTCATGTGGAAGCAACATGTCCTGTCGGGTCTAAGGTGTTATGGCATGAACTACGCGACGGAGATGGACGAGTTCAAGCCCGAGGCCCTGGAGAGCCACGATGGGAAGACGCGGGAGAATGTCCTCAAGCGCGCTACTGGGTCATCGACGAGAAGGTGGCCCACCTCTTCTACATGCACGACATCTCCATCGGCGTCCACGGCATGAACGCAAAAGGGGAGGAATCACCCCGTGGGCCCTTTTGGCATTTCTCAGCAGAGCTGATTGGGGAGAACGAGCTCGGTGAAGTCGCGGTGGCCATGCACAAGGACGGCGATGAAGCCCTTCGGCGACTGGCAGGGCTTGCCAGAGGCCGATCCAGAGAAGTCCAGCAGAACCATATCGACAACCATATCGACATCCTCGAAGTCTTCCATGCCGGTGCCTTTTCCGCGATGGCCCAGCAGAACGGACTCAAGGTCCTGGAGTGTCCTAATCGATACTCCAAGGAGAATGGATGGTCAGGCCTGGAGAGCAAGCAGCGACGACAACTACGACAAGCGCTTCGCGACTACCGGCCTCGGCTGGTGACGATGAGGCTGGAGCCAGCCGAGGACAGCCCTCGGGGCAAGTCAGAGCAGGATAAAGTGAGCCAGGTCAAGGAGTCCGTCCAAGGGGCCCTGGCGCTGGAGGTCGCGGAAACCCAGCTCAACCACGACGGCTACTTCCTTTTGGAGGCTCCCCGGATCTCCGATCTTTGGAGGTCCGACCGAATGGGCCAGCTTATGGCTCTCCCGGACCTGGCAGTGATCCCGGGTGAGTTGGGAAATCAGCTCATCACGAATGACCTAGCGATCTCGCAGAACATGATGTCGATCGCGAGAGAGAAGCTCCCATCGCAGGAGCTCCCAAAGCGCGGGGAACTCCGTGCTGACGATGAACCAGCAGCGACTTCGGCGTCTTGCAAGTCGGACAAGGTTTTTCGTAAGGCTGAGACGCTGGCTGGGGTTCTTCTTCGCCGAGGGGATTTCTCACATCAAGCATGTCGTCGGCTTTTGAAAAGCATTCCGTGGAAGGAGCTACCTCTCGGCAAGAGCGGCACCTCACCACTCGCTCGAGAACGCCGTTGCACGTTGACCCTGGGCCAGTTCACTCATGGTGGAGTAGGAGGCATCACCCGAGCGACCGAGTTGATCCCTGAGGCCACCAGGTTTTTCAATCAGTATCTTACTCTTCAGGGAGCGACGGGGCCGAGGTCTTCGTTGACGATCGGGATCAACAGCTGCCTCTCGTACCACCGCGACGTCCACAACGTCGGCATGAATAGCACGATAGCGCTCGGCCAGTTCAGTGGAGGACAAGTGTGGGTGGAGGATCCAGAGGGATCAGACTGGAGAGAGGTCAGCTCAGACAGATGGGTGAGGGGCCGGGTACATAAGACGCACCACCGGCTACTGAGCTTCTCACCTAAGGACCTCCACCGAGTTGAGCCCCACCGTGGAGAACGATGGAGCATTACTGGATTCCAGACGCGCTCAGCATGCAGGTTATCCATTTCTGGACAAGCCGCCTTAGGAGCGCTGGGATTCAATCTGCAGGGATATGGGGTCTCGGCTCAACATCAACATAGCCGCGATTTGGCCCTCCTGGATGCTTCTTTCTTCACCACGAGCACAACGACTTACCGACCGCCACCCGAGATTCTCCACCGCAAGAACTACAACTTCGTCGAGACCGGGGAAGACACGGATGGCGAGCCCAGCAACGAAGGTGAAGTTACCACGGAGGCCCAAGGCGAACATCGACCACGGCTACGAGTCTCGGAGGAGCAAAAGAAGCTCGTCCGAAAACTCCACGTTAACACGGGACATCCCCCGATGGAGAGATTCTTGAGGACGATGCGTGCCGCCGGCGCCCTTCCGCACGTCTTAGAGTACATCCGAGACCACTTCAAGTGCGACGACTGCGAGATCAAGGTAAGGGCAGATTCCCGACGACGTGCCCAGTGTCCCAGGCTGTACACGTTCAATCGAGTGCTGTCCGTGGACATCATGTATCTTCGCTTCCAGGAGAAGCAGATCCCGATCATGAACATGGTCTGCACAGGGACCAACTATCATGTGGCCGTTCGGGTCCCCGGCTCCAATGGAACTCCAAGCTCCTCTTCAACCTGGAAGGCATTCCTCGAGACCTGGGTCAGGTACATCGGAGCTCCGAGCTTGGTGATTAGCGACGCTGGGAACGAGTTCAAGGGAGCGTTTGAAAGGGGGCTGGAGCAGCTTGGATGTCTGCAGCATGTTTGTGCCGCCGAGTCCCCATGGCAAAACGCCAAGTCAGAGCGGCATGGCGGATGGCTGAAGAGGAGGCTAACCCAGGAGGTGGAGTCAGGCCGATGCATCTTTGACAGCCTTGACGAGCTCGACGAGTTCTTGGCCCAGATCACGGCAGCGAAGAACCGTTGGTGGAACCAAGGGGGACATTCTCCGGTGCAGCTTGTGTTCGGAGAACTTCCACGTGTGTCGGCAGAGCTCCTAAGCGACGGACCGGGGGGACTACAACCCCTGGCGGACTCACTACACGATCCCGCCGGAGGAGACGAGGTTGGTGTGGAGTTCCGGCGGAGAATGGCTATCCGCGACCGGGCGAGGCAGCTGGCAATGGAGAATGACTCCAAGGAGGCCATCCAGAAGGCGATCAAGACTACCACGAGCCCGACGCGCAGGTGGAACATTGGACAGTGGGTCTACGTCTTCCGCCGGGCCAAGCCAGGAGACTCACTTCATCCTACATCAAGGTGGGTTGGACCAGGGCTCGTGATTATGAACTCCCAAGGGATCGTCTGGGTTGCTATGCGAACAAGGTTGTGGAGATGTACATCCGAGCAGCTGAGGCCAGCCTTCCCCTCGGAGGTTCTAGGGAGCCATTGGAGCTCGGACCCGGAACTGGCGGACTTGCTGCGGAAAGTCACCTCCAACACGCGAGCTGGGGCGATAGACGTCGCCCGCGAAGGGCCTCCACCGAGGAGTGGCGACGAGCAAGCACCTGTCGAGCAGGTGGTTCCAGATGGGCTTCCGGTGGATGAGACCCAAGCAGTACGGCGAGCTGAATCCACTCTGCCGCCAGGGGAGATGCCCGGAGCACCAGAAAGTTTTCTTCCTGTGCCACCAGGTTTAGTGGGTCCACACAAGGAGCACCGACACCGGAGATGGATCCTCGTCTTCACGGAGGTGCTCAATCGACAGCTACCTCCCGAAGATCCTCCGTGGAGGAGCCTGCGCAGGAACCAGAGGTGCCAACTCAGCTGGATCCGATAGCTGAGGAAACGTCACCCGGAAGCATGACGGAGGAGCAGGAACCTCCTCGCAAGGCGTCCAGGACAGACGAGGGAACGCGAGCACCGGGCACGCCAATTCATCAGCTCCTGCGAGTGATCCGATCTCGAAGGGATCAGCCGGAGCCCAGTCGACCCTCGGAAGCCCCTCAACGCGAAGCGTCACGATCCCCGAGGAGGGAGGATCTTGACCACGGCCTCATCACATGGTTCTCCCTCAACGACGAGGGTGAGCTCAACTTCTCGGCGAAGCGCAACGACGAGATCACCCTAAAGGACCTGAACGAGGCGGAGGCTAAGATGTTCGAGGAGTCCGACGCTATCGAATGGAAGGCCAACTAGAATTCCAAGGCGGTCCGAGTGATACATGGAGCCGAGGCCGAAGCCGCGAGGAAGAAGTGGGGAGACCGCATCCTCTCGTCGCGCATGGTCCGGCGAAAGAAACCGCTCCCTGAGGACAACCGATGGAAAGCGAAATCCAGAGGGTGTGTCGGGGGGCATACCGATCCCGATACCGGGACGCTGACGACCTATGCGCCGACTCCTCAGGGAGAGGGGATGATGGCGTCCACCCAGACGAGCCTGAACCTGAGGCACTCCTTTGCCTTTACGGATGTCAAGAAGGCGTTCTGTCAATCTGACAAGATCCGTCGCGAGGCCGGCCCCTTATTCGCGGAACCATGTGAAGGGTTAGGTCTTCCAAGCGGGTCACTGATTGTGTTGGACGTACCCGTGTACGGGTTAGATGACGCTCCGGCATGCTGGAGGGCAACCGTCGTCAGCTACTTGGTGAAGGAGCTCGGATACATCAGGAACCTAGTGGAACCATGTTGGCTCATGAAGTTCGAGTACAGCGAGGACGGCAAGGCCCGGAATGTCTCTCAGATCCTGCTGGAAGTGGACGATTTTATAGTGACCGCGCTCCCCAGTCACGAGAAGCAGATCGAGGAGGAGCTCCGGCGGAGGTTCACCTTCGGCAAGTGGGAAAAGGGCGCTGCCGAGTACGCCGGCAGACGTGTCCGCACCTTCCACGACAAGGTCCTCATCGACCAAGGCAAGTACATCCGAGAGCAGGTGAGGCCCGTGCCACTTGAGAAGCACCGGAAGCAGGACCGCAAGGCCCTCCTGAACGAGGCGGAGTTCCAGCTCCTCAGGTCGGCCATCTACAAGGTGAACTGGCTGGCAAAGGAAAGCCGGCCCGAAATGGCAGGCTTGGCATCAATAATGGCCTCGAGACTTTCCGTGGCGACCATCGACGACGTGCTCACAGTCAACAAGTGCATCAATCACTTGCACAACACCGCCGATCGAGCCTTGACCATCTGGAGGTTCGACCCCAAGGAGATGGCTTTTGTCGTAGTGACGGATGCCGGAAGAATCTCCATTCGAGAAGGGGAAGAGGATGCCGATGGGCTGTCAATGGATGCCACACAAGGAGCCTGGGCTGTCATCGCCACTGAGCACTTGCCTGTCGGGCGAGAACGAGTGAAGGGATCCATTCTGGCCTGGCGCTCCAGTAAGCTCAAGAGGAAGGTCTTCTCCAGCTTTGGCGGCGAGGCTCAGGCGATGCTTCAGGGAGTGAACGAAGTGGACTGGCTGCAGGTGATGATTCGAGATGCAGCGGCCCATGACGTTCAACTCCGGAACTGGCGGAACAGCCTCTCGCCCCACATGCTCGTGCTTCGAGGCGACTGTCATCTGCATGAACGACAACAGCAGTGTTCCGTCACCGATGCGAAATCACTGTTTGATTGCATTCTTAAAGAACATCCACAAGGACGACAGGACCGCAAGGCCGCCCTAGAGCTCTCGATAGTGGTCAAAGACTTGCAAGACACGCAATCAATGGTGCGGTGGACCCCGCATCAAAAGAACATCGTCGACGGGCTCACGAAGTCTGACCCTCTCAAGAGCAACGGTGCCATGGAGGATTTCATCCGTCAAGGAGTTCTGTCACTAGTAGATGTTTCCGAGGAGCTGCAAAACCGAGCTTCCGATGCCCGATTCCGAAGGCGTAGCCATTCGGCTTCCATCGCTCGAAGAGCAGAAGAACATAAGGATGCACACGTGACACTTTGGGCAGCTCTTATTTGGGGGAACTGTGATAGTTCTCCTGAGGTGTTAGGTGAGTACATGTCAGCTAGGGATATCAGGACTGCTGCTGAGCTGAAGCATACTGCCCAAGGAGTCACGACTGCTAACCTTGGCTCAAGGGACTAAGCGAGCTGCTGTGCGGAAGATAGGAAAACAGGGCCTCCTGCGTTCATGAGTTCGCTCCAGCTGTGCATTTTCCGGCACATGCGGTCTCATTGTTTTCCATTCACAGGCTTTTTTTTATCCTGTGGTGTGCCACATTTCGAAAGTTTCTCCTCTGGTTTCCGAAAATTTGTAAATTCTCTGCGGCTTAGGTTTCCAAGTTTGCACAGATTTCAATTTTTGATGGAGAAACTTGGATTGCTTTTTCGTTGCACATGCTCCACAGTTGCTGCCGTTTTGCAGTTTATTATGTTCTCCACACGTTATCTGCTTTCTCAGTCCATGTGTGGTCTGCTAACGGCTTTTATGTTGGCTGCCGAAGATTTCCACCTTTGCTGTTCAGACTTATTCAAGAGCTTCGGATTTCGCAGGCATCGGATGCCATTTTGTTTTGATTTGGGTGTCTGCTGTGAGTCTCCAGAGCGTAGTTTCTCTCTATTTCTATAGACTTTGGTTTTTTCAGTTTGTTAGGTTTCCGTTTGCAGTTTGGCCTTCTGGTTTTCGCTTTCCTGCAGTTTTCTTCCAAGATTTCGTTTGCCGATCAAATTTTCTGTGCCGTCTAGAAGCCCGCTTCTGGGTCTGAAAATTGTCAAAATTTTTGCCATGTGCTGGAGGGCCCTCCAGAGTAGTGTGGTGTCTGCTATGAGTCTCAGAGCATCTGGTTTGTTTCAGTTTGTCAGGTTCCGTTTTGTGCAAGTTTCCTCTAGATTTTGCAGGTCTGCTAGTTTTCCGTGGTGTACTTTGGATTTCTTGCGTTTGTTGTTTCTGTCTTTTCCTGTCTGTCTCCAAAGTTCCTTCGATTGTCTAGGTTTCCATTGCGGTTTCTACAAGTTTGCT